TAAAACACTAATTCTACGACTTCCGAATTTCACCCAAAATCTTAACCTCCAATTTCTCCAAAAATGGCAAAACTCATAAACTCAATCAAATTCACTCAAACGAAACTCAATACTCTCAGCTAAACACTACCCGACTAAACTACGTAATTTATTTCGAGTTTCATCCGTTAAAACTCGGTTTCTATCGATTTAACTCATTTGCCCTAGAAATGGAAAATAGAAAAAACTACCAACAAATCCAACACAACTCATACATAATCATACACATTGATCAAATAATAATGTTTCTCACTCTTACCTTGATTAAATCGATAGCAAGAAGTTGATCTTGAGCTTCCCATGATTTTCCCTTCTTTCCTTCTCTTTTCCTTTCTTCCTCTTTCTTTCTCTCTTCTTTCCCTTATGTTTTCCCCTTTTCTTTCCTTCCTTCTATTTTTCCTTTATATGTCTTTCTATCATAATTCCTTCCATCATAATTCTTCTCAAATTATCTACCAATTCATTTTCTCATAAAATATCTCATCACATCATTAATTAGAGAATATCTAATAAGTCCACATTATTCTACCAAATAGAATAAATCAGTTAAATCCATTAACTCATATAAATTAAATAAATCCAATAATTCACTTAAATAAGATAAATCACACAAACTAATTAATTAGTACAAATAATCAATTACTGAAAATTGGGCTGTTACATATGTGGCCTGTTCGAGAATATTGGTGGAAACATGTATTTTTTATCATTTGTCGATGAGTATAGTCAAAGGCTTTAGATATATGTGATCAGGCGCAAATACGAAGTATTTTCAATCTTTAAGAGATTTAAAATACTTGCCGAAAATAAGAGTAAAAAGAAGATTAAGGTTCTGCGAACAAATGGAGGTGGTGAATACACATCCAAGATATTTGAGGAGTTCTGTGCAGAACATGGTATTGATCACGAAGTAACTGCTCCTTACACACCTCATCATAATGGAATAGCAAAAAGAAGAAATAATACCATATGGATATGACGATATGCATGCTGAAGTAGAACTTGCCAAAGCCCTTATGGGGTGAAGTCGTCACCACTGCTGTTTATATCTAAACAGTTGTCCTACCATGAAGCTAAAAAATAAGGTTCCATAAGAAGTTTGGAGTGGAAATAGACTATCACTGAGTCATCTGAAGGTGTTTGACTCTATTTTCTACAAAGATGTTTCTGATGAAAGGAGAAGGAAGCTTGATGATAAAAGTGAACCTATGATTCTGGTAGGATATCAAAAAATTGGAGCATATATGTTATTTAATCCAATTAATTATAACATCCTGATGACTCGAGACATTGTGATTGATGAGAATTTTTCCTGGGAATGAAATTCAGGTGATGCGACTAACAAGCCATTGACGGGCTATGCAGTTGATGAAGAATGTAGTGAGCATGAAGAAATTCCAATCGATAATGTTCCAGTCATCATCAAAGTCAAAATAGATAGTCAAGAGGGTGTGGCTAGCACAAGTCAAAGACCTCAAAGAACTAGAGTACTCCCAGCGAGACTTCAAGACTGTGAAGTGGTTAGTGATGATGAAGTCACACCAGATGGAGATTTGGTTCATTTAGCTTTACTTGAAGGTGATAAACTAATCAACTATAGTGATGCCTTCAAATATGAACAACGGAAGGAAGATATGGTTAAAGAGTTACAAGGAGTCGAAAGAAACAATACATGTAAGCTAGTCGAATTGCTAGCACACACAAAAGTTATCAAAGTAAAGTGGGTGTTCAAACTGAAGCAAAATGCTTATGGGTCAATTTCAAGACACAAGGCAAAATTAGTAACTTGAGGATTTTTTTCAGAGATCAGAACTCGACTACTCTGAAGTATATGCACTAGTAGCAAGATTAAAGACTGTTCGATTGGTGGTAACCTTGTCAAGTAAGCAAGGTAGTTTGACATTTCACTTAGATGTTAAATCAATATTTTTGAATGGTCATCTAGATGAAGAGGTATATATCATACAACCTCCTGGGTTTGTGATACAGGAGGAAGCAAGGAAAGTATACAGGATGCACAGAGCGCTCTATGGTCTCAAGCAGGCACCCAGGGCATGGAACAAGAAGATCGACTCATACTTGGTCAAATGTGGATTCATCAAATGTGAGTTTGAGTATGTTGCCTATGTTCAGGTTGTGGTACAAGATATAACAATCATTTGTTTATATGTCAATGACTTGTTAGTAACTGGAAATATCTTGGAGAACTTGTCGAAGTTCAAATAGATGATGAAGAAGGAATTTGAAATGTCGGATCTGGGAAAGTTGATGTACTTCCTAGACATGGAATTTCAAATGTCGAAGTAAGGTATGATGCTACATTAGAGAAAGTATGTCAAAGAGATATTCAAGAGATTTAAGATGGAAGACTTGAATTATGCATCCTCACCTGCCAAACCAAATTTGAAGCTGGAGAATCATGGAGAGGAAGACAAGGTCAACTTCACTTTGTTCAAAAAAATTGTTGGATCTTTGAGATACGAGTGCAACAGTCGATGTGATATAGGTTTCTTAGTCGAATTAGTGAGATACTTAAAAGGATCGACAAACTATGAAATTCTATTTCCATGAGATTCTGAAAGCAAAGAAACTAATATTACTTGTTATTCAGATGTTGATTGGTGTAGAGACAAGGAAGATCGAAGAAGCACAACTGGTTACATCTTTCAAGTATTTGGTGCCTCAATCTCATGGTGCTCGAGAAAGCGACTTGTGGTGGAATAATCATCATGTGAGGCTGAATATATATCAGAATCATATGTTGCGTGTCAAGGAATTTAGATCAAGTTTGTGCTGGAAGAGATTGATGTCAAAGTGAAGAAACCTCTAGGGATGCAGATCGACAACACGTTGGTCATTAATCTTGCAAAGAATTCAGTTATGCATGAAAGGAGTAAGAACATTGAGACTAGGTTTTATTTCCTAAGGGAGAAGGTAAAGCATGGTGAACTTTAAGTGAGACATTGCTCGAGTGAAGCATAATTAGATGACATTTTCACCAAAAGAGTGAAGATCGGCACATTCCTAAATTTGAGGGGAAAAAAATTAGAAATAGTGCAAATCGACTATGATTAGTTTGTCTTCGACAACTTGAATTATAAGGGGGGTATGTTGTAATATAATCCAAATTGTAGTCTAAGACCAAGTTAATTAGGTTAGGGTTTATTATGTTAGTTACTTTTCAATAATAACAAATTATTAGTTATTTTTCATTCTCTCTCATTTCTTTTCTCATTCAAAGTGTCTAAATATATATATATATATATATATATATATATATATATATATATATATATATATATATATATATATATATATATATATATATATATATATATATATATATATATATATATATATATATATATATAATAAATGAAAAGTGAAATGATATAATAGTTGTTTGATATGAATGAAAGTGAGAAGAAAGGGAATGGAAAAAAAGTTATATATTTATAAAATGTCACAATGTTATATTTATTTAAAAATGAAAGAAAGATGACTTATAAAATGTCCTACCCAATGTAAAATAAGTGTAGGATTAAATTACAGTTTTGATTTTTCGATTTTATCTAATTTACGAAATTAAGTCTCTTATTTTAAATTTAATTAGTGTTGGTCTTTATATTTTAAATTTAAACAGTTTTAACCCCTCCTCTCATATTTTTTAATAGAAAATTGATGAAATATTCATCTTTTAATTTATATTTTTATCTATAAAGATCAACAATATATTTATATATGATGATTTATTGTGTTTTACAAGTAACTTTTGATTTAAAAAATAGAAATATCGTTAATTTTAAATATCAAAGTATGCGAGAATGACTAAAACTATTTAAATTTAAAATAAAAAGACCAAAATCTATATAAATTTAAAATAGGAGATCAATTTTATAAATCATATAAAATATAAGACTAAAGTTGTAATTAAATCTAAATATAAAAATATTGAATTAAAATAAAAACAAATCCATTGAAAAATAAAATAAAATGATAGTGAGTTAAAAAAAAATCATACTTTAATAGTAAAGCTCTTTGTATCATTTTACCATCTTAGAAGAGTATAGTTCATGTTTTCTTCTTAGCATTGGACGGAAAATTTACAGAAGTGGGACCCATACAATTCTTTCCTCTCTTAGATAGTAACCAAAGGGTGGAATCATGTATTTCTACAAACTTTACATCCTTCCTAGTTCCTTCTTTCCTTCTCTTCACTTTAACAAACATGGAGTTTCATTCGTCCAAATAATTATGCGGCTAAATCAAGAAGATTAGCCGACGAGTAGACTACTTTTAGTCTCGGTTAATAAAAAACATATTTTTTAAATTTATTTAATAATTAATATATTTAATTTATCTATCAAATATATTAATTATTTAATAAATTTTAAAAAATGTACAAGATTAAGAATTTTTTACCAATCTGCCACTACCTGAAATCAAATACACTAAAGTGCCACTAGCTGAAAAAAAATTTCACAAATGCCACTACTTCTTAAAGGGTTCGTCCTATGGTTGGACGACCCATTGAAGGACTTCTGGGCGCAGCATGGGTTCGGCCATCCGTTGGCCGACCCTTAGCTAGCTGCTTTTTTTTTTTGTTTTTTTTTTAATTTTTTTTATTTCAGAAATTATTATATTATTTTTTTAATAATTTTGTGTTTTTAATTGTTTTTGATATATTAAAATTATTTAAATAATATTATATAATAATAAAAAAATAATTTAATTATTTTAAAAATAATTTAATATAAATAATATAAATAATATAAATTTCACATTATATAATTAATTATTAAATATAAATAATTGTTTTTTACATTATCTAATTAATTGTTTTTTATATATTAAAATTAGTTAAATGATATTTTATATTACCTAATAAGTATATAAAATAATAAATTGAATCATAAAAAAAGAAAATATTATTAATATTTAAGAGTGGATAAAATACATTTTTAGACGGGTCGATTTGATGGGCCTGCCACGTTCGGACATTTCCTCCGCATATGACCGATTTCTCGACAAATCCCACATCTTCTCTTTTCTTTCTCAAAATCGTCCATTTCAGTTGTAATTCTTGTACTATTTGGACGCCCTTTCTTATTTCTTCGCATTGTCTCGTCATGGCAAAGAGTGAATCCTTCATATGTTGGCCAATTTTGCTGGTGTGGTAGTCCAAGGAAGCTTTGGCTGTATACTTTGAATACACTTAGAACTTTGAAAACATCTGGTATGTGCATGTTATGGTCCTGTCGTATACTGGCACATGCTGCGATTACATGAGAGCAAGGTAAATGAAATGCCTGAAACCTCCCACAATCGCACCACCCTCTCCTGAGATCAACGCTAAAAGTACCTAATGGTCGGCCATCGCGTTGGTTAATGCATTCGGCAACCATAAAACAGAATCTCTCGCGATCAAATTGAATGACGTTATGACTGCTAGATTTAATAGCCTCGTCGGCCATTCCCTTGATACAGTTTTTCGTGAAAGTTTGACCGGATGCCAACAGTTTTGTCCAATCGTGTCCTCGTTTTCCAAACAGCGATCCCAGACGATAGTACGTTGACTTGACCAATGCTGTAATAGGAAGGTTTCGGGTAGCCTTAAGTACCGAGTTCATAGATTCGACTAAATTTGTGGTCATGTGTCCCCACCGCTGTCCTCCGTCAAACGCCCTCGACCAATTCGCTTTGGGAATATTGTCAATCCACTCCAAAGCTGCTCTATCTGTTCTTCGTAATTCACCCCTATAGTAGTTAAATGTTGCCTCTGTTAGTGCATATCCTGAAAATAATTAAACAAAATGATTAGTAAAACAAAATGATCAAAAAATTATCAATAAAACTTGTGAAGATGTAGACATACCCATGTTGACAACTGTTTTTCGTAGTGCTTTGTTTCTGAACTCACGCATGAAGTTTTGCGCAATATGTCTGATACAGTAAACATGTGAAGATGGAGGAAACTGCCACCCATTTTCAGGATCATCGTAAGCACTCTTGATTGATGGATGTCGGTCGGATATTAGACAAAGATTGGCCTGGGGGGTCACGTGCATTCTCAAATTCTTGAGAAAGAAACTCCAACCATCCTTTGTCTCTCCTTCAACCAATGCAAACGCTATCGGAAAAATGTTACCATTTCCATCTTGTGCCACAGCCATTAACAAAGTCCCTTTGTACTTGCCGTACAACCAGGTTCCGTCTATTTGCACGATTGGTTTACAGTAACTAAAACCACGGATACACGGTTTAAATGCCCAAAAAAGTCGGTGAAATTTTCGTTTGTCACCCAACTGGGTTCCGTCATCTGTAATAATCGGCAATGTTTCCAACTGTATAACAGTTCCAGGAAGATATGTCTTCAGCACCAACAACCATTGTGGTAGGTCATTGTAAGACGTCTCCCAATTTCCATAAAGTGCTTCTACAGCTTTGATCTTTGCAATCCAAGCTTTCCGATATGAGATTCTATAACCGTATTTTTCAGCAATGTGGGCTTGTATAACTTTGACTTTCAGTGAAGCGTCGCTGTTAACAAGTTCTCTGATGTTGTGGCTAATAATTTCAGAATCTAATTTTCTATGATCCTGTGACATAGAGGTTGTAGTGCAAGTGTGTGATCCCTTTATAGTAGCGATCTCCCATAATGTGCTTTTTTTACGCACAGCAGCTCTACATTTGAAGACGCATTGTGGGTTCGTACATTTTATTATATACCTTACTGAATCAAATTTATATACTGCATAGTCAAGGTTGTTACTAATATGCCAATGTTGTAAAAAAAGAACACACTCTTCCTTATTTTCAAACACCAAGCCTACTTCCAATTTTTCACCATTATGGTTTGGTTTTTCATTTTCAAAAATATAGATGGGTTGAGAAGACTCCATACATATGTTTGACATATGCACTGGTGGATTGTACAGATTTATGGGTTGAGCATATATTACCTCTGACTGCATGAGTTCATCGTGACCGTCGTCATCGTCATCACCGAATAGGTCTTCAAAGCGAACATCATCGAGCTCATCGTCACTGTATTCACCAACCTCCTCGTTCCGGATGAAAGGTTCATTATTTTGCGTTATTTCTTCATCAGTTGTTTGGCTCACCCCGTATTGATGCGAATATGATGATTGTGTTGGATATGCCTCGTCTTCAAGGCGAACATATAATTCAATTGTCTTCAACTGGGGCATTGTGTAATGACATTGAAACATTGATTTGACTGCGCTGTCTGTATCTATCTGCATCATTACGTAGAACACATCATCGTCTACCCCATTACGTATTGGTTGACGGTAAGTAATATCCTGAACAGAACGATTCACTTTTTTTTCAATTCTATCTTTTAGATGACGGATATCAGAACTTCGGTGAAGTTTGAACATCACCGTATCTGTTCCGTTGAATGAAAAACCGATATTTTCATCAGTAAACACGGAACCGTTATAGTGCATAGTGACCAATGTGTTTCTATCTGCCATGACCAATGTTTTTTGAAATTAACAGTATGAGTGTATGAGTGGGAGGTAGATGTGCAGTCTACAACAATTGCATGTAAAATATATAGAAGAAGCGTGCATGCTGAACAAGTTAAGGGACGTCCATTCAAAGGACGAACCCACACATGCATAGTAAAGGGTCGTCCAACCCAAGGACGTACCAATTAATGTTTAGTAAAGGGTCGTCCAACTAAAGGACGAACCCATGGGGAACGTGTAGGGGTTCGGCCAACACAAGGGCGAACCATTAAAGAGGGAATTTTGCATGCAAGCCACTTGTCGTTGCATGCTTCTAGGGTTTGAAATATTAGGGTGCAGAAGAATCCATTAAGGCTGATGAAAAATAGTAGGGTGCAGTATAGCATTGCATGCATGTGAATTTCCAAAGGTTATTAGTGTGTATCACTACTTCACCACTTCAACATTTTTCTTATAAATACAATGTAAACCACATTTTAAAAATCATCACTTCAACATATATCACTACTTACTTCTAAATCAATAATTCAATACTTTTAAATGGCAATGTTGTGGATGGGAGAAAATCATCGGGGAACACCGGCCAATATTGCCGCATTTGTATGTTATTTTTATTCACATTTCTGTTATTTATCTATTTGAATTTATTGATTTGTATCCATTTCAATCATTCAACAAGTTTGTATTTATTTGTTTTTATATTTGAAACAGTCCGATAGCGAGAGATTCAGACTACATTCTCATGCTATCGATGCACCAAGCAAAGAAATTAAACCGTTTTTGGAACGAGCTGGTTTCGCAAAAGTTGCAGAAATCTCCTCAATCAAAGTTGATTCAAAGCTTGTAATCGCTATGTTGGAGAGGTGGAGACCAGAAACACATACTTTCCATCTACCAACAGGTGAATGTACCATCACGTTGGAGGATGTGAGTATGTTATTGGGTCTTCGCGTGAATGGTAAGGCCGTGAATGGTCCTACTCAGGTAGGAGGTGATGTATATATGGAACATTTAGGCGTAGAACCTACAACATCTGATAAACATAAAGGGTACGTTAAAATTGTTTGGCTACAAAGTACATTAGCACGATTACGACAAAAAGCAACACCAACCGATGAGGAAAATATTTTACATGCAAAAATATATATTTTATTACTCATAGCTAAAGTATTAATGCCAGACAAGAGCCATAACTATTTGCATTCTTCTTGGATACCCCTAGTTGGAGATTTAGATAAATGCAGAAGATATAGTTGGGGTTCTGCTTGTTTGGCTACATTATATAGACATATGTGTAAAGCATGTATGGTAGGGGTCAAAAGTATTGGTGGGTGTGTTCTACTACTAAGTGTTTGGACATATTGGCGTATACCACTAATAGCTCCAGAGTCTCCCGCCAATGCACACCATCCTTATGCAACAAGGTAAATTTTGTTTACATTTTCTTTATCATTTATTTTCTTTTTGTTTCTATCCCTAAATTATTTATCTTTTTTTTAACATTGCAAGATTTGTTCGAAGAGGCATGGCTTATCAAAATAATCCTTGGCACTACGTCCGAGGATTTAGATTCGCACTAGACAGATTAAGGGCTAACGATGTAAGTTTGTTAGCGCAACATTCTCTAAATATGTGTCACCCATTGTATTAAAACTCTAACACTTATATTTTCTGTAACAGTTTATTTGGAGGCCATACCCAAGCTACCCCGAATGCGTCCTTCAAGATAGCCAGATTTGGAGCGCTACAACTTCAATTATCAGTTTCCATATCGTTGAAATGCATCAGGCTGATAGGGTCAAATTGCAGTTTGGATTTCAACAAGATATCCCTCCTCAGCCTAGATGTCTACGTCAACAACATGAGACTGATATGCCTAATACATGGGGAGATCATTGGTGCAATATAAATAAAGAAGAAAATAACGAGTGGAGAAACAGAACAAAATTGACCCTACGAGGTAACATGGTTAACGGTAACTATGTTCATAGTGCTGCATATATGCAATGGTTTTTATCCATTCCATTTATGCACGCTTCTCAAGGTCAGTTCCTAGAGGACCCCCGTCAGTATGCAACGTCTTCATCACAACAAAGATCCTCTTCGCCCATGCCTCAAGAAATGCCTCAGGTGAACCCTTCACAATTTGAAACACAGACATCTTCATTCAACCAGCCAACATTCTTTGCCACCTCCTCTCAACAACCAACACAACCACAACCCCAACCAACATATCAACGCACTCATACTACATTCTTTGCCACCTCCTCTCAACAACCAACACCGTACACCCCAACCCCACAAACAAACTACTACTATCGACAACAATATCAGGAACAAGCCACATTTCAACCTTCTTTTCAATTCACTCCGATCCCTCAGCCTAATTTTGATTTCTCTTACCCCCAACCACAACACCAAACATTTAACCCTTCAATGTCTCAACCAAGTTCATCCGGTCGCACCGACAATGTTTATTACCCTCCCATCCAACAAAACCCTCCAACCACTTTCACCCAACCATTCCAGTCAGCCCCTAACTTTACCCTAACTGATGATCAACTCATGGAATGGCCAGGTTTTTCGGTTACTGATGTGAACATGCTTGATACATCACATCAACCTGAAAATAAAGAGTTGACTTCCGACTCTACCCCATCACCTCCAACATCACCTCCAATACGACAAACTCAAGAGTTAGGCAGGGGGAAACGTGTGAAAAAGAGTACATTGTGTGGAACTGGCGGTCATTTGCGTAGATAAAAATGATGTATTTTCTCCACTCATCAATATTAATAAAATATCTTTTATTTATGATTTATTTTTTTATTTTATCTAATTATTTAGTTAAACAATTAATTATATAATTTATTATTTTATATAATTATTTATCATTTTGTATATTAAATAATATTAAAAAATAATTTGAAATAATTAAATTACTTATTGGGTAATATAAAATATCATTTAACTAATTTTAATATATAAAAAACAATTAATTAGATAATGTAAAAAACAATTATTTATATTTAATAATTAATTATATAATGTGAAATTTATATTATTTATATTAAATTATTTTTAAAATAATTAAATTATTTTTTTATTATTATATAATATTATTTAAATAATTTTAATATATCAAAAACAATTAAAAACACAAAATTATTAAAAAAATAATATAATAATTTCTGAAATAAAAAAAATTAAAAAAAAAAAAAAAAAAAAAAACAGCTAGCTAAGGGTCGGCCAACGGATGGCCGAACCCATGCTACGCCCAAAAGTCCTTCAATGGGTCGTCCAACCATAGGACGAACCCTTTAAGAAGTAGTGGCATTTGTGAAAAATTTTTTCAGCTAGTGGCACTTTAGTGTATTTGATTTTTCAGCTAGTGGCAGATTGGTAAAAAATTCCAAGATTAAAGAGAATAATATATATTTTAATTGTCTTTAATATAAGAGCGGTGAAAAGAGAAGGAGACATAAAATTAAAGTTATGTTTAAGTTTAAAAAAATCTAATAGAAAGAAATTTAAAATTATTACAAGTATAATGTTAGATATAGTCCCTTCAAAAGAGAGTATTTTATCAAACAAAAGGAATGAGAACTAAGACCTAAGTCACTGATTCATTTATTGGCATAATGGGTTCTGTTTATAAAAATATGAGATACTAAAGAAAATGTATGGACCTTGTAAAATTTAGACAAGAGAAAAATGACAGATACTAAAAAAATGTACGCACCTTGTAAAATTTAGACAATTGTTTCAAAAGATTATCCTAGACAATTGTTTCAAAAGATTTGAGGATATTTCAATGTATCCTGTATGTTTTTTTTAGGTATCATGCAAAAATTTTAAAATGTTCTCTGTTTTTGAATATGTATTTTTGGACGCACTTTAATACATACTCAATAAAGATCATAATGAGTTACGTCATACTATTTGATTTATTTTATTCTAGAAATATATTTTTGGAAAGTTTATGTAGTTACAATTTTGTAACACAAACAGATCAGTAGCAAAACTAAAAACACATAATTTTTCAAAATAAAATTAAGACTCATAAAATAAAATTAGGATTACATAGATCATTTAAACATAAAATGTAACATTACTTAAATATCCAGGTGGACGTTTCAACATATTCGCAATATCTTCGACCGATCTTGAAATCAACGCTTCCAACTCAAACGAAACTTTTGTTTCGAAAAGAAAATATGTATTTCACATAGCCTTTACATATGTCCGTGTCTTAAGCTCAAATTTGCTGAACTCAATCTTCCTTCTATTGTCAATCGACGGTGAACGGTACTCGAGCTTCACAATCCTTCGATTGTCTATGTAAGGTAGAAGATGATAGATTTTGTCTTTGATATCTTCAAGGGAGGTGAAATCGGTGAGCTTAAACATTCGCACGAGTGTAAAGCTGGAGAAGGAGACATTTTTGACATACCAGTTGATGTTAATTTGTGACATTTGAGACATTTTTAGTTTGTGTAAAATATAACATAAGAGCACATTAATTTATAGAAGTCATTGATCAATATGGACAACTCAATAACTGGCATGCTGATTATGGAGATATATCTTTGATTCCGCACCTTATTATCTTGTTCCAGAGATGCATATCCGGAACTTCTCCTGAACCAGTTCAAAAATAGAACCATTAAAACATAACCTTTTTTACAAAATAAAAAATGTTGTCATTGGGAAGATAAAAATTGCATTAAGATACAATAAGAAAAATTGCATTGGGAACATAACCTTTTGTTTTTAGCGATTGAGAGGGCAGTTTCATGTCGGTGATTTCCAGATAGGAAATCTTCCTCAATCGTTCTTTGATGTGGAGTTTCATGTTGTCTTTGGCTTTCAAAAATCTCTCTTGTATCACTTCTCATTCGGTAAAAATAGAGATATCCGATTTTTCGTCATTCATGACGCCATCATCATCAAACCTAAGTCTCTTTTAATGAGTGCAAACCTCATCTGTTCTTATTAAGTCA